AACATAAAACCATACAAATATTCCACCGAGAAGAAAAAGATCATGTTCAAAGAAGTGAGGTAGATGCTAGCCGCAGGAGTCATCACACCAAGCAAATCACCATACAAAAGTCCAGTGGTGATTGTGTCCAAGAAAGATGGCACCCTCGCTTCTGTGTGGATTACAGAGAATTGAATGGAATTACGGTCGACGAAGCCTCAAGTATGCCGCCAATACATGACAGCATAAAGGAAATAGGCACGGCTCAGATCTTCTCCACATTGGACTTGAAAAGCGGATTTTGGCAAGTTCCACTCCACGAGGACTCCAGCCCCAAAACCGCCTTTAGCCTACCTTATCTGCATACGAATTCTCAGTGATGCCCTTTGGACTTAAAAACGGCCCAGCAGTGTTCCAAAAGCTAGTAATCAGTGTTTTCGCCGGATACATAGACGAGTTTATTAAAGTATACATGGATGACATCATAATATACTCCGAAAATTGAACACAACACAAGAAACACTTGCACCTGGTATTGGAAAGATTGAGGATACATGGACAATGGGCATCACTGAAGAAATGCAGATTTGCCGCCGACGAATTAGAGTATTTAGGACACAAAGGGATATCTACCAACACACAACCCCTTGAGAAACATGTAGAAAAGATTAGAGGATTCACCACACCCAATACAACGAGACAACTAAGAAGTTTCATGGAACAGCCAACTGGTTACGAGATTTCATCCCTCGATTTGCAGATGTCATCACCCTGTTGACCAACCTCACCGCAGGCAACAAGCGACGACTAAAATGGGATCCTCTTGCGGATCCCATTTTATCCCATGAATTTTCTAATTTCCAATTTCACCCAAGGCTCAAAAACTTACCTTCTGTAACCTTTGATAAAAATGAACTCAACTTATTGAATCTAGGTCTCAAATACTCCATTCCGAGGAAGGTTTCTGAAAAGGATATTCAGAGTCTCTCCATTGAGCTAGATGTTATCATTCAGAATCTCTCAATCCCTCTAAATCAAAAAAACGTCAATTAGAAACTCTTGCTATAAAACTATCTACAAATTCAAAAACAAAAATTTTCCATCTTCTTCTACTTCTTTCAATAACTCTACTTCCAACACTCCATCAAACATATCAAATAACTCATTATCCACCAACTCACCTTTTACTTCTCAAAATTATTCATTCAATGTTTCTTTTCCACAATTATCAAACAAAAAACAGAAAGACCAACTCCAAATCCTCAAGTCTATTCAAAACAAAATCAAATCCCATAATCTTATCATTAGTAAAGCAGACAAAGGCAATTGCCTTGTCATTTTAGATCAAAATTTATATAACGACAAGGTCACTACATTTCTTTCAGATAATAATTTCACTTTACTCCCCGAAGATCCAACAAAAAAGTTCATTAATAAAATCAAAGCCACCAATAAACTCTTCACAGAATTTCTTTCAGAACATGACGCTCCATATTATAAAATACCTAGCAACCCATTAACACCCAGATTGTATGGTTTACCTAAGATACACAAAGAGGGCATTCCCATTCGTCCTGTTGTTAGTTTCATAAATACTCCAGTTTCTATTCTGTCAAAATTCATACTGAATCTCATCAACAACTTGACGAACTTCACCCTTCGTTTTTCAGTCAAAAATACCATTCATCTAGTCAACAATCTTCAACAAATAAATCTTCATCCTAATATCACAATGCTTTCATTCGATGTCAGCAACCTATTTACTTCAGTCCCTAAACAAGAAACTATTAATCTGGTCCATTCTCTTCTACGAGCAAATTCTATCACTATGTCTACCACTAACTCAATTATTCAATTATTACAAACTTGTCTAGCTCAAGACTTTTTTGTTTTCAATAGTAAATTTTACAGAGAACCTGATGGCTTAGCCATGGGTAGTTGCCTTTCCCCTCTCCTAGCTGATATATTTATGGATCAATTAGAATCCACACACATTATGAAAAATCCTGAAATTCTCCATTGGTTTCGACATGTTGATGACTGTTTAGTCTTCATATCAATTAACTCAAATTCAGCTGACCTGTTACTCTCTAAAATAAATCAAATCCACCCAAACATCAAGTTCACTATGGAACTAGAGTCGTCTCAATCTATTAATTTTCTTGATCTTACCATTACCAGATTAAACGACCATTTCGACTTCAGTATCTATAGAAAGCCTACACAAACTGACCATATCATACCTTTATCTTCCAACCATCCAATGTCACACAAATATGCAGCCTTCCATAGTTACATTCATCGCCTATTAACAATCCCTCTATCACAATCTAACTACCATAAAGAACTCAACACCCTTAAGCAAATAGCAGTCAACAATGGATATGACCCCAATCTTATCAACAAACTAATAAATAAGAAACAACTCAAACTTTTGAGAGAGACTGCGTTCCCCAGAGACTTGACCATTAAACCACATTACGCTTCTTTACCATATCTTCAAGAACGTCTTTCTGGAGATATTAGATATATCCTAAAAAGATCTGTTGAGAACACCCACATTTCTTTCAAAGTTCCAAACAATATAGGACAATGTTTAACAAACACAAAAGATCCCATCAACTACATGGATCGTAGTGGTTGTTTATAAATTACAGTGCTCTGATTGTGATGCTACATATATAGGTAGAACCTGTAGATCACTAATTCCCGTTCCTTAGAACACACTAAAAAAGAGAACACTTCCACCTTCTCCCAACATCTTGCACAACATAAACATACCCTCAACATCCCAGAAAACGTCTCTTTGTTACATAATATCCCGCAAAAATTTTTTCTAAAATTAGATCTATATGAAGACTTAGAAATAGTCAAAGAAAAGCAAAGTAGCCCAATTGCGTCAATCGTCATGTATCGTTCAACCGGGACTTTCAACCCTTACATCGACAACTCTTCTCATAGTCCACGCTTCACAATATTGCATTACTTTCTTTGCCCGTCTATCCTATACAAACTTCAACACCTTTAATCCTATACAATATTTGTGTTTCTTTAAACAATCTTCCTCTACAATATTGCCACACCTTCACCTCAAAAAATGTTTCGACCCCATTGTTAACTTCAGAACCATCCATATCTATCATAACAAAATATTTCAACATTTTCCTCACTCTTCACATCTACATCACATTCCTATCCATTCTTTTCTCTTTCATTATTTCTTGGTTAACTCATTTATCAAACATGTACTCAATATTTTTAACTATTTATTCTCTCAAACATTATCTAACATTTTAACAAAATTCATATTATTTGTGCTTCTTCAAACAACCAGTCTCTAAACTTTTGCCACTCCTTCCCCTCATCACTTTTCGACCCTAGTGTTAACTTTATATCCACCCACATCTATCATACCATAATTATTTTATTATTTTCTTCACCCTTCACATCTACATCACATTCCTGTCCTTTCTTTTCTTTCATTATTTCTTGGTCAACTCATATATCCAACATGCACTCAATAGTTTTAAAGTCAGTAATCATTCAAACATCATCTAACTGTTTTTCAAAATTCATATATTTTTCCCCTAATAAAAAAATCCTTATCCAACATTGCTCACCTTCTTTTGATCAACAATAAGTAGCACATTTATACATCAAATTTAGATTTTTACAAACCGAATTTATTACTACTAAAATACATTTTGTTCAGGGTGCTAGATGCTTCAAGCATAAAGGACCCCTATTATTTCTAATTGTTGATTAACTCCTTTTCTCCTTTAACCATCCCCTCCTTCTTCAGTCATTTCCTCTACTATTTCTCATCAAGTCTCTGAGGAGCTCAGCCTCTTCAATTTTAAATTAATCACATAGGTTATAACTCTGATTTCTTCAGCCTGTAGATTTTCAATTTACCAAACTCGTTTTATTAATTTCTCACCATACTAACAGTCTTAAATAGTCATTTAAATACAAGGTCTTATATTAGCTTCATATATTTACTATTAAAAAAAATTTTACCTGTCCTAGATGTGATAAACATAAAAGGATAATTTTCATATATATAAGCTAATCTAACAAAAATACACTTTTAGACCATATTTCATACGACAAAAAGCAACATAGGTTGCCTAATACACAGGTCATCCTCTTAAACATGACTTTAACACCATTGGTGATTTTACATCGATTATAACCCAAATTTTAAATCCCAACACCTATATTGCTGTTATTATTTTTTAAAATCATCAAAAATAATTTTTGAATCTTTTGGCTGTAGTAATACTAGGTATAACTAATATACTTCTATGTTGCATTGACATTTTGTTTTTGACACCTTTCATAGGTATATTGTAAATCAGTTTCCAGCTGTTCTCCGTGCGTAGAGGTTTTCTCCCTGGCTCTGGAACTCAAAAATTTTTGCAATGTATGTTACCTGAAGTCATATTTAATTTAATAATGAGCATCACAGTTTTTTAACAACAAGATGTATAATCTTATATAACTATAAGTAATTTAAAGGGTTTTTACCCATGTATTTTTGGTGGCTCAGGCATTTTAACCTAGTAAGTATAGCCATTTTGCTTTTTTAACCATAGTTAAAATTTCATAATCACGTTTGTTTTAACTAAATGGTTTGTACTTATTTTAGGCAGATTTTAAACCTGATGATGGACTGTTTAGTCCGAAAACGTTTGTTTTTTTGATGTAGCCCTTTTAAGGGTTTTTAAATAAATATACCCACTTACAAAGACTAACCTCGTTTTTGTGATACGTGGTATACAGCCAGCCACAGGAATTGTTTTTCTTGTGGATTTTATTTTAAAATATTTTAACTTAGTAAACATCAGTTTGACTGTGAGATTTCAACAGAAGTGTTGTAGTTCCGACCTTGAGAGTTAAATATAAACAAATCGGTAAGTAAAAACAGATATTTTGCTGTAATATTTTCAGAATACATTTAGGAAAGGTGTATTTATAATCTAAAAGATACAGTTACTTTCTATTTTGATGAGTTTTAGCAAAAACTTCACCTAAAAGTATGTTGCTTAGAATCAACGTTGACACTAAGTGATAATGGTAAATCTACAAAGGAAGTGTTTTACTTCTTCAGTAATTTTTGATTATGGTATACAACCAATTAGAAGGAGTCTATCCTTTTTATGTTAACATCAATTTTCTTTTCAGAAATATGGATATCCTTCCTCTTACGTTTTATGGAAAAAAAAGCGAGCTATGTAGTTCCTGTTAGAGCAGATGTATCAGATGCAGAAAGTGTATCCGATGATGAGGATGTCGAAGGTAAGCATTTTGATAAATGTTTAGCTGCAGATTCGGGAGATGAATATTGTGAAATGCAAATATACTCCTTTTCATAGCCTTTTTTCAGTGCGTCACAGTTTTTCGATTTCTTTCTAACGCATTAAGTTGTATGTGATGAAAAAAGCGGCACTTCCGTGATTAAAACACGAAAATATTACAGCGTTGCATACATAACCGGTCTATTCTTAACCTACGTTTGATTCGTTGATATTTAACATGCGCGCTTTCTCCAGCCAATCAGTTACGCGAGTCACAAACATTGGATGTAAAACTTCATTCATTCGGACATCCTTTAGAAGTGTCGTAGAGTGAAGTGATCTTGTCGGTTCAGGTCAGTATTTGACATTATTGCATAGCGTTGTTGTGCATTATTTGTGTTTACATTTTTATTTTGTTTTGGTTTTCATTAAAATATTTTTAAAATGCCAAGATTTACGGAAAAGGAACAAGTTCTGATACTTAAAGTACTTAAATATTTTGAATTAGAAAAAGAAGCTGGGCAAACCTTATTACCACTTTCTGCTGTTCGAGAAGTAAGTTTATAGTTATACTGAAAATAAAATTGTTTTATTTTTACCTACTGTTTATTTCAGCGTGTTGCTGAGGCGTTAGGAATTTCTTTGCCAACAATAAGACGATTGGCAAATGAAGGTGTCCAAAAAGATTCTGATTATTCAATCACAATGAGCGAATCAGTAGCCACGAGTCGTAAACCAACATTATTAATAAATAAATACGAACATGCCATCAGAATGTGTGTATACAGAATGTTTAGTAAAGGTAAGAGCATTACAACAGTTTAGTTAAAATATTTAACCATATTCCTGATAAAAGGCAGGAGTAACTAATTTTCATAGACATTTCTTTTAATAAATTGTTACTGACAACTAGTTACATATATAAAATATATAGAAATGAAAAGTGATTATAAAAAGAATACTACTGAATTAAATACCAAGTAATTAAATAAAGATTTAAGAGTCATCTTTGCCTTTTTGCTGGAGTATATGCATTTACCTTGTGCAGTTTGGTAAAATATATAGATATATTTTTATAACTCTTAAACTTTGGATTATTTAAATATGGTTATTACGATTTATAAAAGGAGTACTGTTACATATAGCACTTAAATAGACAAATTCCTAATATCAAAACTAATGTGTTACTTTACATTCTTAATATTTTTCCTAGAAGAATCAGTATAGTGTCTTTAAACTTTGATTGTTTTAGGTGAGCATGTGACTCTTCATACCCTGAAGCAAAAACTAGAGGAAGTGGATGGAATTAATATCTCTATTGCTGCACTTAGCAGAGTTTTAAAGGAATTAAAATTTAGATGGGTAAATTGTAGTGTTGCTAACAGAAAATATTTAATGGAACAACCACATGTGACTTTAAAAAGACTTCAGTTCTTAAAAGCCTATAGGACAATGAAACCAATGTATACCCTTTAAAACCAGTGTTCTTGGATGAGACCTGGATATTCAGCAAAGGAGGATTCTTCAAGAGCTGGCAAGATGGCACTGTTAATGCACTCAGGAAGAAGAATGGAGAAGGTGTACGATACATTATTCTTAATGCAGGTTCTGAAAATGGGTTCATAGATAACTGTGAATTGATTTTCAAAAGTGGAAGTAAATCTGGTGACTACCATGATTCAATGAATTCTGAGAATTTTGAAAAATGGTTTGAGCATCAGCTTTTACCAAATTTAGAAGAACCGTCATTAATTATAATGGATAATGCACCATACCATTCAGCTTTATTGGAAAAAATACCAAATGCTAGTTGGGCAAAACATTCTTTATTAGAATGGTTGAAAAACCGACATATTAATTGTTCAATGACTATGATGAAATTTGAGTTGATGGATATTGTGAAGAAGCATCTACCAGAAAAAATATTTAAGTATGTATTAGAATTTATTTAGTAAGTGACATTTTCATATATTTTGTTTTACAGATTGGATAGGCTGGCTCTTCAATATGGCCATCGTGTATTGAGACTGCCTCCATATCATTGTCAATTCAATCCAATAGAGAATGTTTGGTCTGACTGCAAAAGGTAGTATGATGCCAATATAACTTCTGCTGGCGTTACAAATGAAGCCACAGTATTAAATGTGTGGAAAAAATCTTTACAAAAGGTGAATTAATTTTTATTTAATTCTTAGATACTAACTTTGCTATAATTTAAGGTCACACCAGAAAAATAGAGGAAATATGTTAGGCATGCAGAAAGCCTCATTAATGAATATTAGGAGACAGCCAAAATAATGGACACAAACCACATCTCCTATAGTCATTGATTTAAATGAATGGGATTGTGCTTCTTCAGATGATGATTTTGTGGAAATGCCAGAACTAAACTGACACTAAGCTCGTTTTTGCTTTTGTAATTTGTAAGATTATTGATCTCTGTTCTTCTTATATTTATTTGTTTATATTTTCTAATTTTATCATGCAATATTTAGTCTTATTTTCCACATATTTCATTAATACTTCTATTATCAATTAATAGTAGTCTATTGTGTTTTTATGGTTTTTAGATATAAGGTTGTTAGTTCTCACTTACTTTACTTACTTTACTTTAACTCATTAACATCTAAAAAGAAACTAGCATGGAAAAAATGGAAAACACCAAAATTGTGACGTTTGGTTTAACTTTGATTTTGAAATTAACAAATGGTAGAATTGATTGTTCCTCTCTTGTCCCCCCTTAGAGTATCATATTACCATGATTTGCATTATCTATGCACTTTTAATCTAATTTCCATTTTATAGAAAAATCCATGGGGCCAATGGCCCACTGAATAGAGACTTATCTTTGTTAAACAACCTGAATGTAGATGTATTTAATATGTCTCTCAATGAATATATAAATATTTGTAAAAAAGAGTTACTTGTACCTTATATGCACCATGGCATATATATATATATATATATATATATATATATATATATATATATATATATATATATTATATATATATATATATATAAACTATATATTAAAAAAATATTTTTTTTTTCAAAAACATTTGGAAATACAAGGACGTCCTCAAGTATTTGTATGGTATTTTTCAAAACATTTTTCTATACACATTATTTTTCCACTCTTTTTGCATGTCTACCTTGCGTTCATATGACACGCAGAACACTAACTATTTTCCAGTTGGCCTGAAAAATGATAGCCTTTTGGTGACTTCAATTCTGGAACGAGCTTTTCTATTTCTTTGTGTTCTTGAAGTGATACATCTCCCAAATAACTATATACTATATGATAACAGAATTCTCACTATTTACATCACATTTTCAGTAGAAATTTGATGAGGATTCCAGGCATTGGCCCTGATCATGCCAAGAAAGTACGTAAATAAATCCCACCATTTTTACCTTTTAAACTTATTCGATATAATGATATGCACTGATTATATGCATCTACGCCACTCATTCCAGAATTGTAGGAAGCAAACAATTTTAGACTCCATTACTGGACATTTTTGTACACGATTTTCTCTTACAATTCCTGTTGCCTTTATGATTTTTTTTTTGTTTCAGATATATCATTAGTTGATATTTCGTGAAATGATTATCGAAAAAAATTTTAATTCTAGATGATTCGGGCAGGTATTTCAAAAGATCAATCACTACTTTAGCTCCAACTGTTTTTCCTTTAGTATCTTCAGTATCATTTAGTTTTTCTCCGCAATAAATGTCAAAACCATAATAATATCTAGTGAAACCAGTTAGGATCAATTCTTATATCCAAATTTGACTGGCTTCCCTTTAATAAATTGTTCTGCTAGGTGAAATATTTCACCATAGATTCGCCTATGGATATATGTTTATGGAAACATTAGTCTGGCTAGATGCAAACTTTTTTATATCTAAGAATAGCGTTGTAAACACAGGGACCCATCCAATGGCCAATATAACCTTTCTCATGGTAATCTGTTATAGCCAGTTAGATCTAATATTGCAAAAAAGGTTTGCATTTCGTTTGGAGCTATTGTAAAAGAGTGATTATTTTTTGCCGTGCGTATAAAATTGACTGGCCATAAATGTTTGTAATAATTTCTTCAGCAAATAATTTTTCAAAAATTTTAATTGGTGATAAATTCCTCAGAGTGTCTTTAACGTTTTTGAATAATTGTTCAGCCAGATAACCTAGGGTTATAAGAAAGACGCTGCACCTAACTAAGTAATTTAACCTCCAAAGAAATCTTTAAAAATCTTTAAATTTT